TCTACAAGACGCGAGCCTTTCGCAATGTAAAAATGCGTAGTAGGTGAATCAATTGGAACCATTCCTCGGAAATCCTCTGCCTGAATCCGACTGGAAGGCTACAAGTGGCCTTGGGACGATTGAAATAATAAACGGTATTGCGAAAGTTTTATACCAAATATCTTTAAAGTACTTTAAAGTGTGGGTCAGCCTGCTGGTTGGCCAAAGGTGTGCACACTCCCTCTTGGGATCTACGTTTATTGGTCTGTTACTTGTCCCTCCCTCACGGAGACAATCCTAGATCCGCCAATATTTACATTGTACAAATTACATATTACTGTTCATTAATATTTAATGCAAAATGTTTTCAATAATTAATACATTTATTTGATGGAATTCTCGGCGTCTTTTATTGCCTTTTTTTATAGCAATTATATAAAATAGTTTCAACAACTAGTGCAGGCATATAGACTGGTATATAGATCTCTTGACAGCACGGACTCTGGTCAAAGTAAAGAAACACAGACGTTATTTTTATTTGTAATAACTCTAGTTTCATTAGAGTATAAAATATGTTTTGTTTACTATTCTTTCCTGCCTTTTAAAAGAACGGATTTAAAAATCCGTTTCACTTTGGCGAAGGATCAAGAATGTCATGTGTCATTTATAATTCCGACAGCATAAATCTTTCCTTTATTTGGAATTTGTGCTTTAAAATTTGTATTGTTGTATTGACATCACGGTTCTGACGTTAAGAAACGACTTAAACTTACAATAAGAAAAACATATTCTTAAGAACAAGAAATCATGTCTTAATCATCATAAATATTCTTGGTTTCGCCGTTATCACGGTATACGATCACAGCTCAAACAAAAACAGCCACATGTTATTTCCTTGTCGATCATCCATATGAAATACACATGATGCACTTCGTTGGTTGTTCCAGTTTGTCACAAGCTGGATCAAGCAAGATACAATGGTTGTATGTATTCAAATACCGAGGCTTGTGCATTCCGGCAAACACCTTACGATTTGGCCTAAAAATCGACTTTGCACTAAAAAATGACAGCAATATACATGCCTGTAGAAAGCATACGGAGGAAGGAAGGGCTACAAATAGATATGCAACTACCAGTAGTTCTCCAGGTCAATTTTTGATCCCTTGCACAGCGGTCCTCCTGCAATATAACGCGCGCATGCGTATTTTTGGTCATCAGATGATGATTAAATATTTCTCGTTTGCCGTTAAATCTTTAGATTCCAAATCTCAAAAAATAACATGGAAAAAAATCTAAAAATAACAGAAGAATATTAGATTAAAGCAATAAATTATCTGGCAAATGTGAATGTATTAGCTTGTGAGTGTCAATTGGGACGAACCACAATAAAATATGAAATAAAATGTACTGATTGCCAATTTTCTCGTCACTTCAATATAAAGACGTTCGACAAACATGTTAACAATATGTCTAAAGTGCAGAAAATAACTCCGCTTCCCCATTGGTGTGTGTACCTTATGATGGTACTTGGACTACTTTCCGGTGCTTATGGATATACACAGTGAGAAACGATGGAATTACCATGACAAAATGTAAAGAATACTCTATGACTGAGGAGGAATATTCATTAAAAAAGATTGTGAACCTGCAAAACATCATTTCAGTGTTTTGGCGAGCATCTKGATATGCCTTTTTTGGCATCCAACCAGACACTGACGCCAAAAGATATTATTTGATGAATCTAGCTGTCGAAGTCACTGCTCATTCATTTATACATTTATACCTACTGAACGGCAATTAAGCTATAACATTAATTCTCTCAATCTATAGCAAAATTACTGAGGTGCTAAGGTGGACTAAGGATTTGAGGTGAATATAGAGCAAATTGACATAATATAATGTAATTTGTGTAACATTTTATTTTGTTGTTTGTGCAATCTTTTGTTATCTATTCTCTAAAAAATCATTTGCACTAAGTTTAGCAAGAGATTGCTCATCATTTATTTATTTTCTAATTGATTTTTTTATCATTTTGCACCAATCTAGCAATCTCTAAAAGCGTTTCAATAGATCGAGTGGGTTTCAAGAGTTGGTATGGTAACGCCACATTTACATATACAGCTGTTGATTGCGCTGTCATGCGCAGTCATAGTCCATGGAGTTGAACCAGCCCTTTTGAGATGCGATAGAAAAAGGGATGCATTATTCAAGAGAGTTGAAAAAGGTATGATTCAACATTTCAAACTTGCTAAAAAGAGAATCAGAGGAATTTCGTAAACTCTACGAATGAATCTATGTAATTGATCCAGGATATTTTTTTTAGATCGAAAGTTAAGTGGTCACGTGATAGAATCCCATGACGTAGCTAGTCCCCTGGATTGCGCGGGAAAATGTTTAGAGACTAGTGGATGTAAGTCGTACAATTACCAAGAAACTGGTTCTCCTCATCACGTGTGCCAACTGAAYAACCAATCAAAATCAAGTGCGTCTTCATCTGATTACGTCATCCAAGAAGGATTCTCGTATTATGATGCTGAACAACACGTAAGTAGATTTCATTTTTGCCCATCACATGTTCTTGGTTTCATAATCAAATTACAAACCTATTAGGTTTTAGAGGCTTTTCCTGCCTGTTTGTCGTCTCCTTGTCGAAATGGTGGAACGTGTAGACTTGCTGGGTGTAACGATGATTTCACATGTGACTGTACAGAGGATTTCTCTGGTGAATACTGTAAAAAATGGATTGGTGAGTTATTAGCTGCATAGAGCATTCATCCAATCACCATGGGGCAAAATCCATAATACAATGATCACAACCCAATGAAGAATGGAAGGTTGAATATATTCCTTAATTGATAGATTTTATGCGAAACGCCATTCCAACGTATAGCATTTCCTGCATCCGTGATCCTTTGCGATCGTTTGTTTTGCTTTGAAAAATCACTTGATAAAAGTTGCTTCCTGATTGGTTATAAAACGAAGATCGAGATTTTTTTGTATGCGAAAAAATTGCGCAAAGGTTCTTGGGATGCATATCGACATTTCAGTCTGTCTTATAAAAATTTGTTTTCTTTGTTACGTTTTTATCATTGCATTATTATTAAAAAGTTCATTTGAAAGTGAAACCCGACATACTCTTTATACATACCATCAGAAATGGGATAAGCCAATTTGATCATTTGTGATTCCTATTACCTATTGTATAAAGTATAAAGCAAACTGGGTGTACTTTATGTAGGTTCAGATGGTTCAACCAGCGCACGACCTGGACATTCTTGCTTCTACATCAATAAGTATGGAAAAGCCAAAGGGGATGGAGATTACTGGATTGACCCGACAAGATCTGGAAAACCATTCCTGGTATCTTGTGATATGACAACAGATGGAGGTGCGCAAAGGTGTCTGGGATATGCTTCTTCGGTATGACTTTCTTTAAATCAATTATTTCTTGTTGTTTTAAAGGGGGTTGGACTATTGTACACAACTGTACATTGAAAACATCAAGTCCATCAGGGGTCAAAGAGGAAGTGCCAGACTACAGATTAATGAAAGACTTAACTTTATATAAAACAATAAATACCAACATACTTCAAAGTCTGCGCAGTGACATGGGATTTAATCAGATGCGAATCTTTTGCCACAAGAAGGCTGTGAATAGGACAGTTCATTTGATGACCAGAAGGAATGAACTTGGTCACGACGTCATCAGGTACAAATATTACGCAATACATCCGTCATATTGAATTTCGTTGTGTTCAGATTGGCTTGGAACCTAAATTAAAGAATGCACAAGACAATAAGAGATGAAAGCATCGAGAATCTCATGACTGATCCAATCTTATAACACAAAATGTGGACTAAGTCACTGACAAACACAGAAAACATGTTTTTAAACATTATTAACACCTGGAMATATTTTAATTTCTTGAAAATTCAAAATGAGGTTGTATTAGCAATGAGTTCTATGAGTTTTGTAGTCGAGTAAGTTTGAAATCTCTTTATTGTATTTTCATAGATACTTTACGACGCGGAACGCAGACACTCCCGCCACTGCTTRCAATTCGTACATCACAATGCCTGATGATACATCTATCCTTTCTAAGGATTGCAATAAGTTGGGCTACACAACAAGCAAAGGAAGCTATCTTAATCAATGGGGAAAAATGGATTCACACAAAGGCAAACATCGTCTTTATAACAGAATTCTAAACCACTCCCCTAGTGGCCGCACTGTTAGTTTTTATGGTCAGTYAGCTTTCTGTGACGATCATGACAATAACAACTTAATGCCAGGGGATAGTTGGGTGTGGTATGTAAGATGAACAGGGCGTTAACTAGTATGACACCGCAGTACATTTGAAAACATTAACTTTAGCCGCTAATGTTTGGTAGTGAGAAAACTAAAACCAAAAGTCAGTATCAAAACAATTTGTTTTGCTTACAAAATGAATATCAATTTTTAAGCAAAGTTGGTCAGATTTGGGTGAATGCACTTAATTTAACTAGCCTCTTTGTACTCAGTATTTTATTTTGTGCAATTTAGTTAATGGTGTACAAGCAGAGAAAGCGACGATTCAAAGGACGTATCGCTTCAGTTGCAGTAGTTTGGATTTAGTGCAAATTTCGCAACGCTCCCTTCCTTAACGTAAAATTGTAAAAGTCTCACGGAAATACCGGACAAATACAATTGTTACTGATTTTTAATAACTATTCAGCTCTTTACCATAAATAGAAATAAAAATAAAAAGTAGAAACCATTGTAAACCATTTTAGTGGTTTCATGTGTTTTGACGAACGTTAGTAGATTCTTGAAATATTCTTTACTTTGAAGCTGTCATCGTTGCTGCGGTGACGACCAGTCATCCATTGATCACGCATGAACTCATGAACTACACTCAGTCGTCCCAACAATGGCTTCCGTTCAAAGTTTCATCGAGAGTTTCGAAGCACTGTTAACTTGTTCTGTTTGTAAGAAAACCTTAAATGGGCCTAAAACTCTGCCAGGTTGCCTTCATACTTTCTGCTTTAAGTGCATCGAAGGTTTGAACGAGACGTACCATACAGATGAGGGGTCACTGAAATGCCCAGTTTGCAAAACAGCAGTCGACTGCGAAGAAGGCGACATCTCGCGGCTTCCTTCTTTAACTACTTACAACTCACTGCTTCGCTTATTGGAGCCCATGAAAAAGACGGCTGGCGAAGTACAACAGCAGCAGCATCCTCCACAGTGTACAAATTGTTCCAAGCGCAGTGCATTGGCTGGATTTTGTCTTCAATGCGAAGGAATGATTTGTGGTGATTGCATAAATTACCACAAAACGCTCAAGATATTTAAAAGAGGCCATCAGGCAACGGTGTTCAAGGATTTCAATCAAGAGATCTTTGATAGCTACATCACTAACCGAGTATTTTGTAAAGAAACACTCCATGAGAAAAATCGCCTTGAGTTTTACTGCAAAACGTGCAAGAAGTGCATCTGCTACTTGTGCAAAGCACAATCAACACACAGCAGTCATAACAAGGTCAGCATTGAGGAAGCAGCAAAAGATGCTAAAAGTCTTATCAGCCAAGAAAAGGAGCGACTCAACGAGCTGCTTATCAAATATCAGAGACAATTAGAATTGTCCGATGAAAAGACGAGAAGAATTCAAAGCCAAGTTGATGCAGCAAAGGCAAAAGTCCGTAATCGTACACAAGCTATGATAGCAACTTTACAAAACCACCAAGACGACATGATGGCTACTTTGGACAAAATCTTTGCAGAGCAAACATCAAATGACGACTAGAACTGAGTGAAATCATGTTCTATATTGCGAACCAAGTAAACAATAGATATGTGGACTATAATACTGGTTGATTTGTTTTCTACTTTCAAATTTCTACGCTATATAATTCTCAAATTTTTCACGGTTTTATGGTGTCTGCAATCTAAATCAGCCATTATAGATTCTCTGCCAAATGGCAAAATAGTGCATTTTTGAGTATGTTTTTTTATCTGTACAGAATCGTAGAATTAGTCAAGAAGAAGTTCATAGTCCGCGTTGCATCGCGGAAGTTTTACTTGGATGTCGCGCAGGCTATACTTCCTCCTTGGATAAGTAAATGATGTCATTATAAAATTTCTCGACCTATTCTCCTTTGAGCTCAGTAAAAGTGAATCAAAATAAAAAAAACACACAACATATTAAAGAAAAACAACTTATTTTATTAAAAACATATAGCACTTCATGTTAGGTAGGTAAATTGTAATTTGTGCAGCTCGAACAATAACATCGTGTGATTTTATTGAAACTGTAATAAATTGAACCTACCCAAACCGTAATTCCTAATTCTTTTTTAAAAACAAAATTTTGAATTCTGTAGTTATCTTTCAGCTTTTATTTTGTACACATCTGTAAATCCATTGAGAACTGTCCGAATCTGCATGAAGCCTCTTGCAGCGTCTTGTGCTGTCTTGCAGCATTCCGATAGGCTTAAAATCTTATTGAGCTGGTGGGAGACAAAGAAGAGTCAAAACAATTCGATCCATATGAAGTATTTTAACGATAGATGCAGAAAATCCAAAATGTAAGTATCGAATAAATATCATAGTATTTTAATGATGATTAAGACGTAAACTTAGAACTTTTGGTAACTAGTATACACCCTTTTAATAAGTCCCGAGGTATTACGTTCTCCGCACTTGACGTCAAATTTATTCTTTTGAATTCCTTTTGTATTGTAAAAMTYTCAAAAGAAKAAATTTGRCGYCAARTGYGGARAAAACAATACCTTGGGACTTATTAAAAGGGTGTATACGACTGGAAAAGAGGTTTTTATTTTATCCGATTCTACTAGTTGACAAGGTAGCTATTGACAATAACCCGTTGTTTATATTTTTTTATATTTTCTATTTTCCCTGTTATTATTAAGTATTTACGCCAACAAATCTCTGACTTGGTTCGAATCACGTCAACTGAATTTCCAGAAAGTCCACTGCGTACTTTGAATCATTTCAAAGTCCAAAATGACTAGCATCAGTTTCATCTAGCGTCTCGGATTTAATGACTGGAAATTTAACCGGCTTCCTTGAATAATGATTAACAAAAGTAATAATATAAACGTAGGTGTAACCTTCAGAATGAAGCCTGTGATTTATCGAGACAACAAAAACAGAGATTTTTAGGATAATGTCAGGCAATGTCTATTGTTCTACTGGAATTTTCATTTTTGTATTGCCTGTCTCTTTTTGTTATTTCGTCAAATCACAATCTTTATTCTAAAAGTGTAAATCTCTAATTTCCTGTGCTTGCATTTCTAAAATATTTCCATAACAGAGAGCCTGCTGGTCATTGTCAGTTCATTTGAGCGACGTAGATCACTTCACCTGGCCACTTGAGTCAACACGCCACAGTCTAAATGCAAATTTTGACAACAAAGATATCCTTAATCGATATTTTCAGTACATAACTTGAACAGCAAACTATAGTGCATAATCCAAGGCAATACGGTCTACTGATTCAAGTCTCTTAAAGGTGATATTCAGATTTAAAAAATTGGCCTAGATTTGATGCGTAAGTTAACACCTAAACATGATCTATTGCAGCTTGTATTCATGCAGAAACACATAAAGGAGTTTTGATCGAGATTTAATTGAAAGTCTTTATAGTTTTCTAATTCTTTCACTTAGATTTCTAATATCTTAGCTAATATTGTACTGTTTGATGTGTATTTTCTGAAGGATCAAACGTGGTTGAGTACATTATGCAAGATTCAAAATGGCGACATTGATGTTGATAATATATGTCCTCATTGCAGTAGTACAATGTAAGTAAATCTTTAAATGTTAATTAGTTATATAGTAACTTCAATATTGTTGGTAAAGTGCAGTAACGGTGTTTACATTTTCTATGACATACTACAAATACTAGTAAACTGTAGACGCGCTTCCGTGAAACAAATAATACTATAAATAGCGTAGGTAATAGAAGACAAAGAAATTAGTAAATATATTTTGTACACGGATTTTAATCCGAAGTGTATTGACTGTAGTTCTTAATTTAGATCTGAACAGTTATAGATGGTAGTATCGGTATTGTTCCCTTTGTCCGCATGGTACTGCGGTGTTTAAAATAGTTCCACCTGAGTGATTAATGTCACTATATATAAAATAAGAATCATTAGGGCTGGTTCACACTTTGATATAAGCATCATTCTCAAAAAACTAATAATTTAGGGATTAAAATAGACACTAGGTCTTAGGCTCACTGATCTTTCAGGATCAAATGACAACGACTTCTAGTGTGGCACACAACTCGCTTTTAATTCTAGAGTTAAGAGTACAGTATTTAAAATAGTAAAATACATGCATTTTTGAAAGATCTGTAATTGCCACTCTCCCTTGCAGATTCGGGTTTGTCTGGTGGGATCGAAATGCAGTACTGCACCCCCCGTCCCCAGCTAATTGCCATTGATTCTCCTTACTTTAACTACTTCCCATATTTTGTCCAACTTCATCGCTGCGGGGGGACGTGCTCAGCCGTGAGCCCACGAATTCAGACCTGCTCAGCGGCTACTACCAAAACGATATCAAAGACCGTTTACGACTTGTCAAGAGGAAGTGTAGCGACGGTACTTCAGCTTGTCAATCATACAAGCTGTAATTGCTCTTGTACGCAAAGCCCTGGAAGCTGTGCAAAAGACCTAGAAATATGGAATCCCGACTCATGTAGTTGTAAGTGCAAAATACCTGTGGGGCAGTCACATCCTTGTCCTATAAACTTCAAGTAAGTAATTTGACAATTTTTTGATAGCTGATTTTTGATAGTTTCAACATTAAGCCTCGATGGTCTTTACTCATTAGGTGGAACCAACATATATGTAAATGTATATGTGACTTGGCACCAAAGGTCTGTGATGTCGATAAGGTAATTAAACGACTATATGTGACGTTTTGAGCATCGAGATCCTGAATAGGGAATAATAGGGAACACGCGGTTTGGCATGGGGGCGAGAGAATAACATTGAGTTCATGTGTTGCTGATGAATGTTTATATACAACAACAAATACTTTTATTTACATTTGATTMAATTAAATACAAGAAGTATTGCTACCCGCAATTAGTTTAAACTATTCTAGGCGGGTGCAATAGAAAAAAAAGGTATGTAATAATGGGTTAAAATTTAATTTACAAAAAATAAAGAATATATGATGTATTTACAAATATTATGAGAAAGAAAGAGAACGGACGAAAGAAATTTCAAGATGTACATAATAGTATATATTTTCTAGCAATAAAGGAGGCTGTTCTGCATTTAGTGAATTGTCTATGATTATTTAATAATATGCTTCAGTATTTGAGAGAAATCAATATAGTCATCAGCTAATTCCAGAATATCAAATAGAAGACTTTTTATTTTAGATCTAAATTGAAGTTTACTTAAAATTTTCAGTGATGATGGAAGGCCATTCCAGATTTTGGTTCCGGTTATTACAAATGAGCGTTTTTTCTTTTCGGTTTTTGCGTTTTCAACATAAAAGCWTTGACTAGAGGTCGATCTTGTATTGTGGTGATGTATCTCACTAGTGAGTTTGAATAATTTGGTTAGGTTAATAGGTGCAGTACCATGAAAAATGTCATGCACAAGATTACAGACGCGCTCAAAAAAAAGAAAGGACAACGGAAGAGTTCGCGACTCTATAAAAAAGGGGACTGCGTGTTCTTTTGAATTTGAGAAATTGATAAGTCGAAGAGCTCGTTTTTGAAGAACAAGTAGACGTTTTAAATTAGAGTTGGCACTTTGGCCCCAGGTACATATACCATAGCTTAAATAAGGATTTATTAAGCTTGTATAAATTGTCAGAAGAGGATTTTTGGGGACATAATGTCTAATTTTTGCAATAATACCAATGGCTCTACTTATTTTTTGCGAAATATAATTTGTGTGTTGTTTCCAAGATAAGTTAGAGTCTAAAAAAACACCTAGATATTTAATGAAATCTTTTTGTTCTAGTTGTTTAGGGGTATTAGTCTCATCAGGAATACATATAATGGGAGAAAACGGTATAGATTTTTGCCGAGGTCGGAATAAAACATAATTTGATTTTTTTATATTAAGGGACAGTTTTTATATCTGTCTGCCTCTACCGGCTTTGTGTGGGAGTGCACCACCCTCCCCCCTCAAAAGCATTTCAGTTTGACTCTTTTCCCCAGCTAATTCATGGGACTAAGGGTGGAGGAGTAGCTTTGAATGTTAACTAATCTATTTTTTATTGTTGCTATAGGAATGGAACACAGACTATTGTGGCTGTTTATGTAGTCCCGACGCGTTCAAACGTTGTGCCAAACAAAACCAACAAATAGACAAAGACACGTGTGCGTGTTACAGCGGGTCACCACCTGATATCGCCGCTCGTGGAGGTATGGAAATCACTCGGTTTTCATATTTTTATTTTTTTAATGAAAGTACTGAGTGAGTCCCCTAATCAACGATACAAAGCCATGTTTGATGAAGGAATAACTAGGCTAATGGGGCCATTATACTTTGATATCAGCTCACCTAAGGCATCACCGCGTCCATTCAACCTTGTCCCCGGGCCTTTATCCCTTCATTTTGGGTCAGGTCCCGCCTAATCGCAAACGAAGAAATAAGGGCATGGGAATGAGATTGGAGGCGATAAAGAATGCAAACCCGTGATGAATATGTAATGTAATATTTTAGTGAAAGCGTAGACAACTTAAACCTTGGTGCTTCGCGGCACGAGTCCTTGTTTTTCACTTGTCAAATGTGATCTCCATTTGATCCTCTAGCACTCACACTAACAAAGATATCTTTACATGCGAACTAATAAACCATTCAAGAGCATTATTTGTATATTAGAGGAAGACTACAACTACTAATAACTTTGTTTTGTGCTCATGTTTTCCAGGAAGTGCAGTCAATAACTTTGTTTTGTGCTCATGTTTTTCAGGAAGTGGAGTCAACAGAAACGTCATGATCGGATGTATGTTTGCCGAGTTGTTTCTTCTACTTTTATTGTTTGACGTGTTCCTATATTGTCGCTATGGTCACGGCGTTCTGACGTTCTTGCAGGGGAAATGTTGTTCAAAGAAGAGACAAGGTTCGTTATAACAACAAAAACTTAGGAAAGTTAAGACATGTTCCAGTCTCCTCTTGCAGTTGTTAGGACGTTCGTTCCCAGGTTAACGGCTGCGAGAGGAGACTAGACATATCCAGGCATAGAATAGCCATATAGGTGCTTACATACTACTAAGAGTAGGAATGACTATTTTGCTTTCTCTTCGGGGACTGATACAAACACGCAAATGAGCTCTCTCTCTTTTCCATATCTTCATAGCTATCGACCTGTGATGATCGATAGTAAGATGCTGTAAAACTGTAAAATCTTTTAAAATTACCTCATACTACTTTATTGTCCACAGAGCGTCGAGAACCTGTTCCATTACAAAAGAATTCTCCCGAAAAATGTTAACATCAATAAATGGTTGGAATGGTTGGTTCGCCATGACCTGAAAGAACAAGCCCTTCAGTATTCGTTACAAATTTCTATTGCGTGAGGATAATTCAGTGAAGCCTTGCATATCGACTTTGAACAAGAAAATATGTTCAAAGGAATTATAATGTATAAACATTGATTACCGAGATTTTGAAAGTGAAACGAGAAAAGAGGCTTATATTTGTGTGAAAATTGTTCTATTTGAGCCGGGTTGATCCCCTCTATTTAATTGCCATAACAGTCTTGTGTGTAACCTGGAAATAAGGCTATTTGGTGTGCTATACGTATTTAAGTTTTAATGAATTATTACACATCATGAATACAAATAAAAACAAATGAAAACATGAATCTAAAGAATTGATAAATCTCGTCCCCCAGCAATTTTCCCTTTTTTTAATTTCTGGAAACACAGGAAGCCCAATATGGGTGAAGATCGTAAAGCTCTTGAGGATAAATAGAATTAATAATGAAATACAGATGAAGTACATACTAAAATAGATAATTAAGTCTTAAGAGAATTACCCGTAAGCGCCGTCCTTGCTTCGCGCCGTAAATAAAGTACAGGAACGAGTAAATCCAGCCTCTGGTTCCCAGGGTATAAGAGATTCTTTTTTCGAATAAATAAGTTTATTTTTTTTCCCTAGAGTTTTATCTCAGTGTACAGACCCCTCACAGCTCAAGGGAATGYAATTCCAACTGGAGGACAAATTAATAGATTCTAGTTTCCAAGAGGGCAAAAATCTTTTGTTTTGTCCTGCAGATGAAACTGCTTTGATGTCACACAAGTGGTCYATATTACAGCTCTAAGTCCTGCTAAGTTGGTTTCAAATACTCCTTATACTAGACGAATTTTTGGGTATACCTGAGTGTGCAGAATCACAAAAATGCGTTTCTCCATGCATTGAAGTCATGCATGGATCCAGCTGGATCTTATAGTAACCTTGATAAAGACTCCACTGAAACTGATGTGAGTTCAGTCTTTAACCACGTGGAGACGCTTATTGAAGCATGGGTCGGTACCTTTGTATTGTAAATCGTTCTGAGTATCTTATGACGGACACTGGCCTCTGAGATATTTCTTGAATTTATTTCTGTGTTTTGSACAATTTCCGGCGTTTGGTAATTGTTTTTCAAAGCATATATTACGGATATATTTATTGTAAAGAACGCAGAAATAATTTTGTTTCTTTTTGCAAAGCAGTCATRTGTAATAAACGGAGAATGGTCTTGTGCTAAACAGGAATAATAAAAAGGCACGTCTTTGAATAATCTTACAGGAACCCGGAACTTATTATGTCACTCCTAGCTAGCTCTCCGGCTGCAGTACAATGATATCCACAYKCCGATTCAATGATCAATATACTGTACTATTGTTTTTAACCCAGCTGTTCTGTCATTTTATTTTCTTGCTCTCTCCCTCTGAAGATAYTTTTCTTATAGTTGAAAATCTTTTAACTCACCGGAAGTAGATTGCTCAATCTGTGACATGCATTCCAATGAGCACGAACCGGAAACAAAGCTGTGCATAATAATTACCGTCATGCAAGGTATCGCGTCACATCAACACTCCTTCCTAATGTTCGCGCTGGAACGATTTCGTAAACACAGCTCTAAACAGCTTGTTAAGCCATAAGAATCTGTATTTTGGATCTCCATTATATTCACAGACCAAGAAAGACGAGGTATCGTACCTTAAAAGCTGAGTTTGAGGCAATTATAATCAGGTAAGCGTTGAACTCTTTCGCTAATTTCAATACAAATCAATAGAACCCGGCTTGCGGTCGGAAAGCTCACGAGGAGCTATTTTTTTTTCCCACGGCGACGAAATCATGATCGAAGATAATTATTCCTTTATCTCTTTCTACTATAACTTTGATTTGATTCCGATTAATTTCGTCCAGTAGTGTAGCGTCTCATGAAATGTTGCATGTATAATATCAGCATCTGAAGCCGTAGCTAAATGTGTAGGAATTTTAACTGAGCAATCTTGAATTATTCGTGCGTTCAGCTCATTTRCCACTGCTATGAGATTGAGGGCATCAGTCCTATGAAAAAAGTAGAGAATCGAATAATCGATCACTGAAACAGAAATTCTAAGAATTCCGCATTAAAGGACTTTATAACTTCATTGCAGCGCATGTTACGCACGATCAAGTTTGTACATTTCAATGTTGTTTATACATTCGAGAGCAATAAAGTACTGAATATGGTAGCTTTACTGTACTACTGTACTAGCTGCAAGTAGATCTGGAGTTTTTCTACGATTAATTGGCTTTAATTTACAGGTATAGGATTATTGAGTGCCATTCCGGGATAGCTTGGTACTTATGACAAGTAAATCTATCTATGTTTAATTCATTGTCCTCTGGCTAAACTCGAGAATGTTAGTAGCATTTTCAGGTTTTTCACTGCAAGGCGTACATATAACTCAGTTCTTTTTAACWATATTAAAACATACTTGCATTTTCAGTGAAATTCGTAGAATATTTTGCTCTGTTGGTATCCTAATATTAAATACCTCCAAGCATGCAATCTTGCGTCATATTATTGACACAAATTGTCACATTKGTGATACACTATTCATGGTAATTTTGTATATCATTGAATACCAGACATGCTTTTTAAAAGACTTTAAACTAATCGAGTTGCATATTAAAATGTKCGAGCAGCCTTTTTAAAAACACAGGGAGGGAATACTGAATATATGRCATTTTTCGATTTGTATTTGTAAATGAGCATTTATACAGAGACCGTTTTTTGGAAACTTTCGACGCAAAAATACGAATTTATTTTTGCTATTATAAGTAGAAGAGTATTCATCATTTTGAACATCAGAGTAAACTATCGGTTGTGATTTAAAAATCCTAATCTTATTCGTTAATTTTTTAAGAAAATTGAAGTGTCTATCAATTCAGTGGCGTGGGATTGAGGTAGCAATCGACAACTATAAATAGCGCAAATATTTGAAAAGAAAAAACCGACAAAAAGGAATATTTATATAAAATCAAATATAAAATAATATAARAMGAATAGGGATRATGRTRTATTTTTATTTATGATATGATAGAKTGAMGAAAATCCCGYACCAGTCATGTGAAAGTGGTGTGTTCTCAAATTAGATTTATTTTAACTTAGAATTCGCAGACGTATGATGCGACTTTTTTTCCTTCAGCACATCTGGCGTCATAAGTTGCGTCATTGCTGAAGATGTGATTACGTCATGTCATTATGTT